CTTAATTTTCACAAAAAATTGGTAATGCTCTTACACAGGTGAATGGGTGGAGGAGTGTTTGGAACGGACAATTGGGCTATCGTCCATGGCTCAGATAGCATCTGCAGTGGCAGAGGAGCAAGAAGGAAAGGATGAGGAGGCAATGAAATTATTTCCTCACTGCCTGAAAAAAAAAATCCATAAGATTGCCCAATATGCAAAATGGTGGAAAATCTGTGTAATTTACAGAYAATCCGTGTAACTTGACATTTATGCAAATTGCTTGATGTCTGAAGAAAAACTGATAGAGAGCCTAAGCATTTATTTGGTTCAGATTGCTCAGCTGCCTCGCATAACTGTTGCAGCACTGTTGCAAAACATTCCTGTGACCATTACAAGTGTCAAAAAGAAGCAACTTTGTCACAAGAATGYCACGCAAATGTGGTGAGAAAATTGKGYTGCTGCATGCATGTTSAAATTTTGCCRGGAGTTTGTGCGACTTRCACCCTCATTTCAATTTGGTGCAATTTCAGTTGAAATATTATATATTTTCTTGCTATTTCATCTCCAACTAGTCACCTTCACTCGCAGCTTAATGAAAATTAAACAATGTCTGGCCTGAGATGAGCCGCACCGTGTTAGTCTAACAGCACCTCTGATGGTGATGGGAAAATTTTTTTTTTGACTTTACGAGGAGATGTTTTTAATGCCTTATTTGACAAAGTAACGTTACAAAAAATAAATCAAATGGAAATAATTCCYTCCTAAATATTGTGTAGGATAATTTTCCAGGCAATAAAAGCACCCATAATGTGGAGGTACCCTTGAATCCTATTTAATTAAGCAATAAAAACACAATCACGTTCTATAAAATATATTCTCAGCTGATAAGCAGGGATTCAGCATCCCGCTTCTGTCCTTTTGCTTTCTTCTCCCTCCGGCCTCGAACACATCAGACATTCAGGTATGTCGTGGAAACCAGGGGAACGAGTGTTTCTGATGCACCACACCATGGCCTCTCTAATGAGCCCTGACTCCTAATGACTCGAAGCCACCAGTGAGAGAAAATGCTCGCCAGCGTGGGGGTTTATCTCATTGTCAGTCTGTGCAGTGTGGTAACATTGGTAACCTTTAGATCACTCTGAATTAGGATGCTGCAGAATCCTTCAGTAGTGATTACCAAACAGATTGAGTATCTGGAAGAATTCGCATAAAGTTGTATATGAGACTTCCGCTTGAATTTAGAGGTGGGATAATGGGCCGATTGTGCAAAGACGTGTCACATGGCTCTGATCAGGGATTCTCTCGTGGTGCTTCAGACAAGATTGCCATATCAGGTGATGTTTCTGTTGAGTGGTTTTGATTATGTAGAGGAAAATCAGCATAAACAAGCTAAAAACGGAAAAAAAGGAAAGAATTCTGGCAAAGAGTGAAATCAAAGATGTGAGGCGAGACTTTGCACAGCACAGAACTGCTCCGGAACTGGTCATCCAGGGGACAAGGTGGTTAATTGCGCCGTACTTCAATAAGTCACAGACTTTACACGCTTGGTTTTAATCATTCAAATGTCTCTGCTGATAGGCAGTTCGGGGGACAAAGGTGACTCCGCCTCATCTGAGTTAATGTTTCTCCAGCTAGGTCTGGCGTTTGAGGAAAAAAAAAAGGTGGGGATCAGGATTCAGATGTTCGTATCACACGCACCGAATCCCACATAAACCTTCAAGTCTGTGTTCCTAAATTTGTACATGTGCCTCGAGAGCTTTAAAAGGATGTTGCAATTTCAGCTGTTTGTCAGCTGGAACAGACGCATCCGCTCATCGATTGGGAGGGTTTCATAGTCCCAGTAATCAAAGTGGTGACGAACGGGAGAGAAAACACATTTAGGATAGAAGGTCTCGGGAGAACAATTTGTTTGGTGTAAAGTGAACACGCTGGAAGTTTGAAAACATAAAGATGCTGTTTTCAGGGATTTCCAGCTCACAGAGGGAGAAGGAAAACAGGAGAGCCCCAAGTGATGAGTGTCATATTGATCCAGCCCCTCTGACCTACGCAGTATTTTGTTCACGCTTTCTGTACGTGGAATCGATAATTATTTTACAGCTCACTTAAAAAGAATTTCACATTTTAAATACAAACCTTTGCTTAAAAAAAGACATTAAACTGTTCAGATTCACACTGAAGCAAAAGGCAAGGGTGTGTTCAAGCGAGGCAAAATATCAAGGAGTTTTTGACCTTGACATTCAGATTTTTTAAAGTCACTAAACTCCTCCAGACACCTTCTGTTCTGCACACACACACACACACTCACGGGAGATAGACTGTGACCAGATCAAATATGGGGAGGAACTGACATTAAAACTTCTACAGGGGGTTGATTTTAAATCTGCAGCTGCAGTCGCAGATTTTATTTCTTTTTTTTTTTTTAACAAAAAACTGCTTTGCTTCTTGGGCACACGGACTGTCTCGTTTTGCAGCCAAATTCATGCAATAAAACTTTAAATGGAAAACAATAAATCTAAAGTGTATTCAATTATTCTAACAGCTTTGTTTCATCACACATTAGTTAGCCTCTGAAATATATATTCATGTACAAACCTCCCCTAAAACAATACTTCAGGCTTTTTGAAGTGGGGTTCTGTTGATAGGTTATGAACARTTATTATCTTATCTGTTGTGGATAGCTTTATGAATGATCTTAGTTTAAGTTTGATTGGACTGACCAGCTAATGGCTAGTCCCGAGTGGAGCCAAGACCAAATTAAAAAACTTTCCTCTTGAAACAGCTCCAAAAAAAAAAAAATCTCATAGTATTGCAAAGAATATTTTAGAAACTCTAACATCAGTCAGTTTTGCATTTCACAGTTTAAAGAATTTTATGATTATTAAGGATATAAGATTGCAAGACTTGGTAAGATGGACAATTCTCAGAGCTGCAGCAGCAGTTTTAGAATATTTCTACCCGAATAGTCATGTCATGTGTAAAGATTGACATGKAAGTAAATTAAACATTGTAATCATGAACCAATACCTGAGAGTTGTTGTCTCTCAGTAAAAAGGTTGCAGGTTCAGCTCCCAGCACGAGACCTTTCTTGGTGGAGTTCCTCTCCTCTCGCAAGTGTTGGTTTTCTCCATGTTCTCCAGCTTCCTCCCACTAGGCATGGGACGGTATAAAATTATGACGGTATGATAACCTTGGGCAAAAATATCATGATTTTGCAGTATGACTGTATTATGATTACAGCTTTAAAAAGTTTAATTTTGAAATTGGTATTTAAAAAAAGAAAATACATCTTTTCTATCATCATATTCAATTTAAATAATCCTAGTAAGCTGTTTTTAGATCTCAGAGGTGTTATGCTAAAATTTTATTTACCTGTGTGTATTTATACTTGTGATTTTTAGCACTTAATGCAATTAGGTTATCCTGATAAAGTTTACATCTAGTAAGATAACTTGTTGAAGTAATGTATCATGTGGGGAGTTTTTATTGTGTTTTAAATTTCAGAAGGGTTTTGATGTAAAGATTATATAATTATATGCACACAGAAACAGGAAATCACWACTATGAATGTGTGTTTATGAAACACGTTCAGCTAACGAGCTGCTCGGCTAAAGGAGGCCTTCAGTTTTATTGCCTTTCACTTAAAACTTATCAAATACACAATCCAACAACTCAAACAGTTTTGCAGACAAGTTGTGATCGGCGCATTAAGCCACAGCAACACGGTGATATGTTTCACAATCTGGTGCTAAAGTTCATTCATTCCAAGATAGCATAAACTTTACCTGGAGCTGCGATCATTTTAGATGTGTTGCCTCCATGTTCCACAAGACATTCCGTCTGTCTTTTTACAGCATCCGAAGTATTTTCGTATAGCTAGATTTATTATTTTAGACAGGGAAAAAGTTTGGGTAACTCTCTTCCTTCAGTCAAAACACGGAGTTCTGCCGACAGACAGCTCTGCAGGRGTGCATGGGGGAGGGGGCGCGGAGGGAAAGCCTGCAGCTGCACAGACCAGAGGAAAAACAAAAAACACTTATACCAAATAGGAACAGTATGACAGAAAATATTAGTGGTTTTCAAACTGACTTTTTCGTGTCACAGTATACCTTGAAACCAATATTTGGCCCACACCTGCCTCCCACAGGCCAAAACCTTGCWTATGAGGTTATTTGGTGACTTTAAATTGTCACTATAGGTTTGGGTGAAAGTGTGAATGGSTGTCCCTATGATGGACTTGCGACCTGTCCAGGGTGTCCCCCTCTCACATTGACTCAATGGAGATAAGCCTAGCCCACAACCCTAACCTATAACCCCAAAAAAAGAGAAGCGGATAAAGAAAATAGACAAATAGATGAGCTGCAGTTCAACTTTTTAATGTTGAASTTGTTTTTAGATTGCCAAAATCCAATTTGGTCATGGCCCCACTTAGAGTTTTTTATTAGCTCATCRATCTGATAAGACTTATGTTCTTTATCTTCAAAATGAAGTCTCTCAAATAGCTTTGTACAATAAACGAGATAATAATTATACATATTTCCACCTCACCTCACCTTAAAAGGCTGGAACTATTCCTTTAACTCACAGACAATATTAGAGAAACTTAGAGCTGTTTTTTATCCAACACTTTAATTATTGGTCTACCAATAAAAGTCCAATGAGATCCTATCTTTACAAAAGTGAATCTATCCATGATTACCATCCCAAGATCTCTAAATAAATTTGTGTATTTGTGCGTACAATATACAATAAACCTAACTACAATAATTTGTCACTGTCTAAAACTCGAAAACAGTGCATTTGCAGAGAAAATGATGCTGAATAATTAATCTAACCACAATGCCATTGTGTCATATCTTAATTCCAGATTCACGGCACATACAAAGCAGAAAATTTTCAAAGCTTTGCCCTCTGACCTTCGGGAGGAATCATTAGTGTGAGAGATGATAAACACGTCAGTGTTGTCAACACGGTTGTGCTGTTGCAGTAACACTTGTGTAAGCTTCATTACTGAGTGCAGATAACGTGATCTCATCACATTGTGGACAGGCCACTTGTGCTGTGTTAAGTGTGAACTGTTCATTCTATCAGCTCTTGTGCAGCCGTTGGTGGACTAAATTTGTGAGCAGCAGGTAGGTGGTGGTGAGAACCGTGTGGTCGGATGTGGAGGCCGCAGAGAGTAAAGCCGGCCTTCCAGGATCGTTTGTAAACTGTTTGCCTGATGGGACTCTTGATCCCGTTTGAAATTTATGACTGTGTGCATGTGTGAGAGTAAGCAAAGCAGCAAATGTCTTCGGTGTGTCATCATAAGCTCATTATTTTTCCCTGTCTCTGCTGTAGATCTGCGACCTCTCATCACCTCCACCGGTGAGTGTGCACATCTCTGAGTGCAGCAGAACTCGTGTCCCTTTGAGCCGCTACAGAACCACTCCATTAGGAAACACCCAGGGACCAGAGGCCAGAGTCTTAGGTGAGCTTTACACCAGGTGCTGCTGGCTATTAGATTAGCCTCTTTCTATAGCTTAATTTGCTACCTGTTCTCACAATAACTTCTTTCGTCCCATTACATTCTCAGAATCACTCCAAACTCATCGCCTCTTGGCTTTATTCTTGTGGCTTTTAACAGCGACCATCAACATTTGAGAGCTGTGACAGGTTATGAAGTGTTCCTTCAGAGAAATGAGTCAGGACGGTAGTCTATGCTAATGCTAAAAGCTTTCAAATCCATAAAAATCTTCCTGCAGAATTTAGTGGATTTTTTTTTCACAGAAAGTTCTGAATAGCAGCTGTGACCTCTAACATACATGTGTTTAGATCAATCATCCTGTTCAGGAAATAAACTTAACCCCTGCCTGTTTGGATTAACTGCTGCTTACAGGAAGTGGAAGTCCAATTGATTTTCCTTCACATGGGAGTGAGCTACATGTGACTTTCAGTGCAGGAGGTTAGCTGAGCTTGTCTCGTGTTAAAAAATACACAGACATGTCTGTAAAACATTTCGGCACACACTTATTAAACCCAATATTATTTATATTTATATGAAATGTTAATACTTTTTTGTCTTCATCCTCACATGTTTGCTGTTTAYAACACATATCTATTGATGTTTTTGTATGTTTACAACAAAGAATATGAGTTTTATGCTCTCAAAAGGCCACATTAGCATATGTCGCAGACATATTACTGCAAATGTCATCCAGGTATTTTAGAAAAATAAGAAAAAATATGCTGAGTGTTGGTCATACATGTGCTACCCTATTTTTCCATTTCTTATAAAGAAAAATGCATTATAAGCAATACACAAATAAATCCATCACACTCAGTTGATCTTAATCTTTCTGTTTCAATATTTTAAAACAAATCTTGTCAATTCTGCTGAAGTTTGCCAAACGCAACATGTCTTATTAAAAGTGAACWAAATTAAAATGTACATTTACATATGAATAGGAAATAAATATTTTTTTTGGTTAAAACACCAGAAGTGGCCCTTTGACCACGTTGATCTGGCAATTGATGTGAAACAAATACAAATACATGATCAAACAATTAATTTAAAAAATAGGATTTTATTGAAAATGTCAAAGTGAAAATGAGTTATATACTGATTTAAAAAAAACATGTTAACACAAAAGCAGTGTTTATGTTTTTACTAAAACAAATCTATTTTTTTCTGATGAATGTTTCTAAAGGAAAAATATATTTCTACTTTAATTGCTGCATTTTGGAGCCAATAATGATATTTAAATCCACTCATAAGTTTTGGTTCACAAGTTGTATATTTGATATACGAACAGGTTGTATTTTTAGTATGCTAAAGCAATAATGCTGTATTTTGATTAAGAATACCAACAAACTTTTCACATTCTTTAAAACAAACATTCTGAGAGGGAWTTTTCATAAGTTTGCCTCTAGTTACAATTTTAACAAAAAAATTTGAAATTTGAACTTACATATTGCCATCCAAGTGTGTGTTTTTGCACATACGACGGTGTGTGCATTAATGGGGCCGCAGTAGTGCGGTGGTCTTGTAATCCYGAGGCTRCTGGTTTGGGAAGGTCTATACCGTAGTAAAACAATTGCCAAATGTCTTATGTGAGTTTATTTGCAGGGCCGACCCCTGCAGAAGGGAGAAAGATAAAAAAATGCATTAGATCCATGGTGGTATGTTGTGCCTGTGGCAAATCAATCCCTTTACCTAAATCAAAACTGTCCTCTAGAAAATAAAAAGTTGTCCACCATTGCTTTAAGCTAAACTATCTGGTCGAAGGAAAAAAATGACACACATTTTGTAAGACAACCTGTAGATTAACTCATCACTGAGCATTTTGGTAGCCTTCAAAAGGCAATTTGTAATCAACTTTGATGTTTCCTGTTTAACTTTGACTAAACACAAATGTCACGTTCATTGTCTCATTGGTATGGCTGACCACCGTTACCAAACAATAACTGAGCTCGACGTGGTATTTTGTGCATAGAAATAGTGTTTTAACACCTCCTCTTATAAACACTGAAAAGTAGTACACGTACGACTGACTAAATGTGAAATAAATAATACAGAAATACCAYTAAAAGTAAAAGTAAAACRTGRATGGTTTTACTCACTGTTGATTTGAAGTGAGTTGCTGCCATTTTGAATTCTGAATTCTTCCACATGGGGCATTATTGWCCCTAAAAGTCTTAAATAGTTTTTAATAGTCTAACATTGCTATTACTATCAGAAAGAAATAGAAAATAGAATTGTAGCTTTTTTACTTATCTATAAAAAAACACTATTTTATTTGCACTCAAGTGYGATTTAAAGTATCTCAGAGAAAATTTGTCACACTGGGTTTACTTCTAAAGTGTTCATGTTTTTTAGAAATCTGAGAGCAAATCCACCTTTCATCAATACATTTTTTTCTTTCCTGTTTCCCTTTCAGAGAGAAGGATGGGGTCAGGAAATGTCCCGCTGACATGGCTCCTCATTCTCGGCTTCACCACTGTTGCGTTGAATCTGAACCCCGATGACCCCAATGTTTGCAGCCACTGGGAGAGGTAAGCAAGGATATATTTTGTGTTTTCCCCATATCAAAAAAATGTTTGTTTTTAAATCTAGACCTCTGACTCACAGGACTTACACTATGAGCAGTTGGGTCTGTTTTCATGTGAGGTCATGATATACTGCTCGAGTCCATACAGAGGCATCGATCTCACGCAGCCCCAGAGAGATGGGAGGGGTTTTCAGCTTCAAATGAAATATGCAGGCAGATTGATCAATGTAAATTCATTCCAATCAATCATGACAGCCATTGTGCCTGAATAAATATAAGCTGTGCTGGGCAGTGGCACTTATGAGAAATAAGCAGGAATAATTTCTACTCTTAAGACAACGGGGTGGAACAGAAGCTGTGAAGATGTATTGCTTGAATTATTGCCTGACCAAGGTGAAGGTACTTAGGAATGGTGGTTTCACCTTGTTGGCATCAGAAAAGAAAAACTAAATGGGTTGTGTTTGTGGCTTTAGGGTATTCTAATATTCCCAGGTACCTCTGGTACTTTAAATATGTCATTATAGCAGTTTTATTGGTGCTGTAACAAGTTCTGTTCAACCCCAAACACAGCCAAGAACCATGAGCAACTTTTATTGAAACAGTTTTTATTATGATCACATAAACACTTCGACATGAAATGACCTTTTAATTCAGCATAAGTACAGAACTGTCAGATAAAACACTTTTTTGCAGAAAGCTGCTCCTGGAATATCAGATATTAATGGAAATTATGAGGATTTAGCAGGTTAAGGAGTTTTATGCAGTTCAATTGTCGTGTTCACTGCTTCCCAGCATGAACCTCAGGTCCTTTTTCAAAACGCAAAAAGACAAAAACAGAAAGGTGTTATGCTGCACATTTAGATACAAAGAGATTTTTTAAATCATTTTTATCATAGAATAAAATCTATTTTACAATTATAAATTTAAAAATATAATTTCTATTAATATATAAAAATGTTATTTACATTATTTAAGAGGGATTTGATTTTTTTTTGTTCTGTTCTCATTGTCAACAGTGTTGAAAAGTTGGTTTTTCAGAGGGGATATAATTTTAATTATTCTTGTGCTAAACATATAGAATTATTATTGAATAGTGAATAAAAGTGAGAAAAAAACATAATAAAAGTTTTATGTTTCTTTACATATTTTGCAGCATTGCTTGTGGTTTTGTAAGGG